GTTTCCCATTACCAAGTACAAGGAAATGAGGTACACTAAACATGTAGACTATGTTATACATATAAAATTCGTACATTTCTCTTCCGTAATGGATGTTAAAGGCTCGGCCTTAACCCACTTTGTGTAATAGTCGACCGCGACAATGATGAATTTATATCCTCCAAGAGTCCTGTGCAGCAGCCTGATTATGTCGATTCCTCACTTAGAAAAGGGCTAAGGGGCGATTATAGAAGTGAGGTCCTCTGAGTGCAGTTGAGGGATTGAGGCATACCTTTGGCAGCTATCGCATTTCTTTGCGTATTCTACTGCATCTTTTTTGAGATTGGGCCAATAGTCTCCTGATTGGGCCAATAGTACCCTTGGCGTAGAATCTTGTACGCTAGAGACTGCCCCCAGTGTGGTTGCCACAGATCCCGTCGTGAATTTCTAAGAGCACTCTTTTTGCCTCTTCCTCATCAATACATTTAAGCAGGGGTGTTGAATATCCCCGTTGGTATAAGGCGTTGTCATGCAGTATATATCTCGACGCCTGAGATTTCAACCTTTTGGCATGCTGCCTGTCTTCAGGGAGTTTGCCATCAACGAGATATTTGACAATTGGGTCTTTCTAACTTGGTTGACTATCTAATGGCATCGCTTCTGGCGTGCGCTTGATTGTTGGAGTTTCCAATACCTTTACTGGTACTAGCTTGAGTAGCTATACGTCTTTAGATGTGGCTAACCTAGTGAGAGCATCAACATTGCTATTTTTTTGTCTTTGGCACCTATTGCACATTGTAGGTCTTGAATTTCCCCAATGTCTCCTTCACCTTCGCCAGGTATGCTATCATCCTTTCCCCCTTAGCCTGATATTCACCTTTTATTTGATTCACAACTAACTGTGAATCATTGAAAATATCTATGGCCTCCACCCTTACGTGCTTTGCTAACCGGAGTCCCGCCAATAAGGCTTCTTACTCAGCTTCATTGTTGGATGCAGAGAATGCAAACCTAATGGTTAAGGTTATCTTGTAGTCTTCTGAGGTGTGTAGAATTAGTCCTGCCTTACAGCCATTTTCGTTGGAGCTTCCATCGACATAGAGCTTCCACCTGGGCGACTCTTCCTCGGTAGTTTCTGCTTCAACCTCTGGTAGTCTAGTGAATTTTGCAACAAAATCAGCTAGGGCTTGCCTTTTTATTACTACGCGCGGCCTATAATCCATGTCAAACTGGTTGAGCTCAATGGACCTCTTGAGTAACCTTCCAGAGGTACTGGCTTTTGCAACACCTACCTTAAGGGGTGATTCGTCAATACATGTATAGGATGGGCCTGGAAATAGTGGCAGAGTTTTCTAGATGTCACCACTAATGTTAGGGTGAGCTTATCCATCTATGGATATCTTGTCTCTGTGTCAAAGAAGCGTTTGCTGGTATCATGGACTGGCAGCTGCACCTTATTCTTTTCGCGAATTAACACCAAACTAACGGCGTGTTCTGAAACCGCGAGATATAAGCTCAGCACTTCTCCGGAGACTAGTTTTGACAGCAAAGGAGGCTTATCGAGATGCTCCTTCAATTGATGGAACACGTGTTCGCATTCTTCGGTCCACTGAAATGGCTTGTTCCCCCTTAAGGTGTCAAAGAATGGGATGCACTTGTCAGTCGACTAAGAGATGAACCTGTTAAGTGCCACTACACACCTGGTTAGCCTGAATTTTCTCTAGATTGGCCTCGATCCCTCGACTGCTTACCATGAACCCTAGAATTTTCTCGATTTGACCCCAAAGGCGCACTTGAGGGGTCATTTTATATATCCTCAAAACATCGAACATCCCCTTGAGATGTTCCACATGTTCTTTGGATTTCTTGCTTTTTACCAGCATATCGTCGACGTATACCTCCATGGT